ATTAAGTTTCAGATTCAAAGAACTCTCCATCGGAAGAACTTTGATGGCTTTGACGGGATTCTAACATGTTTTGGCACAGTTGGATAGCTAGATCGTTTCATTTGAAATCCAGCTCGCCTTTCTCTGAATCTTGAATCCTAGGTCAGATTTACCTGATTCACGGAAGTAGTCTCTTGAATTGATACCATTACTAATCGGTGGTTCTGGAAGCGCTGTGTTGTTAGAGTCCTTTAGATGCTTTAGCTCAGCTTGCTAACTACATCTTTTAATTTGAAATCAAAAGACTTTTGCGCGTCATCAATTTCAACTCTAACCATAACGCTTGACCCCTACGCGTTTTGGCCACGATGTGCGACTACCAGAAGTCTTCCAGCAATGATTGGCCAAGGCTCAACTTAATTGGAATGTAGATTGTCTAGATAGGTTTATGTAATTTGTCTTCTGCAAGTATTTACTGCTGGTAAAAAGCCCATGCTTTTCATTGTCATATGCCATAGCATCCCAAAGCCCACATATCAAAGCCATAGCTTGCCACAGTAGATGGTGATAGCCCTACATTTGCATTCCAGTCCCGTATGATTGCAGTTATATCATTTTAGGGAAGAGATGCTGTTAGAAGTTGCTCGGCATAAAATTTTAATCCAGATCAACCGTGTGGAAGCATAAATATTGATGATCGATGTTGCAAAACCTTTAAAACAGATCTAGGCCATCTAGTCAACGTTCTATATGATTTATAGAGTTCTATAGAGTTGATTGAGCCTATTCGGACACGGGCCTAATTATAGTTGAGCGCTGCTTATTTTTTTCATATGTGAATTTATTACCTGCCGAGCAAAAAGCCTTATCAATGCGATGCAATAGATCGGTTTGAAGCAATCATTTTTGATAAAGAAATATCAGTATGAATATTAATTAATTAAATCGGTGTATGAATGAATTACCTGTTGAGAAAAGTGTTAAATTCTGAACGATCCACTATTTGATCATTATTATTATCTAGAAAAGTGAACGAGGTATGCAACAAATACAACGCGTATCTTAAATTTGTGTCATCAGCCAAAGTCCTGTTGTTACTACGTACGAGACTTTGCACTGGTGTACATATAAATAAAATAGTTAATAATAATTCTATGATAATATTTCGCATAACAAAAAGTTTAGGGTTCAATTGAATTTCTATCTTAGTGAATGGATGTACTTTGGAAATTACTTCGGATTAGCTGTTTTGATGGATCCTGAAATTAATCTGATTCATTTCGTTGAAATAATAGTGCAATGCTAGCGAAAAATTTTGTAAAATGAACAACTGATGAAAATTATTGGCCTATTAGGCTAAAATCTAACCCTATAAGCATGCAAAGCACAAAAATTTTATGTGAATTATCAGATTCAGATTCAGTTTTATTTATTTTATCGACAGATGGTGAATGAAGTTTCAATCCTTATTATTACGAGAGTTATTACGAGATTTTTGATTATCATGAAGACCAACAAATTCTATCTGATAGGACAAAGCGATTAAAGTTATGTTCACTGGGGAAATATTATGGAGGAAACGAAAGGCAAAATGAACCGCACAAGCTGTGAAACCATTTGATACGTCAGTTGAACGAAAGGCACATTGTCTTATAAGGAAATCGTTTTTCGTTATGACTGCATTCTTGTAACAATTGCATGGACAAAAAAAGAAAAGCAGGTCCTCTATGGTATTACCTGATTCAGCGAAATTAGGTCAACCGGTTTCGTGCAAATGCAAATTTCATTTCCAAAATCCTTTACATCCTTTTTTAGCGAGTTTTAATCTTATCTTTATTATGTCAAAATAATTTGTGCAAAGATTTATCTTATTTTCTTTCGTTTTCTATAGATTAATCAGCGAAAATTATCCACAATTATGCAAATGAAATACGATGGTCAACAATTTTACATTTAGGTCTCCATGGGACCGATTATATTCATTTCGCTCACCAGCATCTCTCAAGTCAATTACCTCACGCAGTAGAAGTAATCATCGAGAGAAGACGAATAAAAGTTCTTGCCTACCATTATCACTTAAAATTTTTGATAAATAACAATTCTGGCTTAAAACTTCCAAAAAATCTATACATTTCTTTTTTATAGATTTTTATAATAATTTGATTTTAAATAAATTTATGAAATTTGTGAACGATCTATATGTCAGAAATTAAAACTTAAATTTCATATGAAATTTGCGGTTGGTATATGGTAAGTGAAAACAAAGACTGCAAGTGGATCTCACGCATTCACTTTTCAGCTTTCAGCTTTCTATGACAGGTTCACTCTCGTGAACGCATACAGATCGCGTCCGTGCTCTCTCCTTTAAAAATTTTTACGAAATGAATAATTATTCACTACATTACAATTATTGCCGAGTAGCATAACAACCCACATTTGAGCAATAAACGGATTATTGCATGGATTCCTAAGATACTGCAAGCTGAATATTGCATAGAAATCTTTGCCTGGGATCCTAGGAAATGCTAAACATAGAATATAGAACCACAATATTTTCCAATATTTTGTTTTTTCTTTGAAAAAAATTTCATTTGCAGGAAAGGCTTCAGTCTCTTTAAATTTATTAGTGTATACTGAAAACAGAAATATACTGAATAAGCAATCGGAAATAAGAAATCCGAAATAATTTTCTAAGATGTTCTATTACAGCAGCACTGCTCAACTTGTCTTTCTACCTCGTAAAGCCGAGATTCTATCGTTGATTCAGCCTATATCATATTCTATAGCAAGAAAGTAATTAAACTTTTATCCATTAATGAATGAATAAAATCTTTATTAGTTTCAAAGATTTGGCTATTTTATAGATAAAACTGAGAAGGATAAGAACATAAATGTCCATAAAAATGTCCATTCTTCAAACAATTCGCACCATTACTAGTTGCGTAGGCTCCACAGGTTATAAAAACATTTTTCAGGCTTCGTCCTATATCTGAAAATAACAGAAGCCTTTTTCTACCTTCCTAATCCATATAGCTGGCAGTCTCTGCGTCCAACATCCATCTCTCCTAAATGTGCCAATCCATTCTATTATTATTACTGATTAATTAATAGCAAACTTGCTAATAATTGAGGCAGCATAATGAGTAGTGACAATAATAATAAGAGAGCAATAAGAGAGATGATGCAGTGTGAGGATCATTTCTTTCTTCCTTTGCTTCTGTTACACGAATGTTAACGGGTAAATATAACTAATGATAATGATAATACTTCATTTGGGGAGCAGACCTGAGTCCTCAATTCGAGAGAAGTTCGTAAAGCTTCACTGGTCCCTAAATTTTAGTTGCCCCTCAACGCCAGACTGCCCCGTCCAGTGGCCCAGGTAACGTCTAACGCGATGTTGTTAATGCAGGCGACATGACTTTAATCAGCGACCCTCTCATAATTGAGATGTGGCAGATGAGCTTTCCCATGGGAATCTTTGCCTAAAGACCCTCATCGGAGAAGCAAATGTTGGCTGAGGTTCGCACTCTTCTTTTTATTGATACGTTCCCTGTTTGTCACGCCACGGTCACCAATTGAAAAATGTTTGAAAAAAAAATTGAAAAAGGAATATATGTACATATATGGTGCGCAGATCCGATTCCAATCTATGGCATTCTCGATGCACTATTGGTAACAATCTTGCCTCTAAACCACACTACCTGATGCCTTATTATTGCTCAGTCTTCGATAACTGAGATGACACGTTCATCCCTTGGCGACACGTATTCAGCTGACGTGAGCACTCTCACCAGCCAAAATCTACTCGGAGTACGTAAAATGCAACTTAGACAAGAGTTGTTCACAAATAACTTAGTTATATATATATATATCGAAAGATTAATGAATCCGAATAGTAAATTATTATTTCTCTTATTTTTTTGCTTGAATGCTTCTCATTTACCATTATTTCTTATTTCTCTGTTGTTCGATTATTAGATTTTTATTATTTCTAATTATTTCACTTATTCTGTTCATAATTTAAGTTTAACTTTAAATATCAATTTGTCGTCAATAACATTAAATTTTGAAGTGTTTTGAAGCAAATGTCGAACTGTATCGAACCTGCGGACTTTACTCGCACGAATCTTATAAAGAATGGCCGAATTATGCTAAAGAGCTTTGACTATTTTAGGCGAAATAAGCTTTGCTGTGTTTAGAGGGAATTTTGTATTGCTCTGTTGTTATGATGTTTCGAAGTGGAAAAGATGAGAGAGGGTGAGTTTGACCTTCTTTTTATTTGACCTTTTCTTCTTTTTTCAGTCGTTTCGTCCTTGTTTTGCTTATTCACCTTAACCTTATCTTCCTTAGCTGTTCGCCTGTCCACTGCTCGCCACCCGTAACTTTTTGCAAGAAACTTTTATTCGCGAATCCGTTTGGCTAGTAAAATGCCCACCGTGGTCGCCCACTGGTCAGCTCACTATTTTAATCTCATTTCGGGTTTGTTCTTTTTAAGGAACACTAATGGAAATTTCAATTTAGTTGTTACGAGTTGTTTCATTGCTTAATCGTCTTTCCATACTATTTTCCCATCTCTCTGTTATTCATATCTTTTTTTACTATATTTAATTTTTAATTGATTCTAATTATTTTGGTGAATCGAGTAGGATTTAGCGCTAATTTATTTATTTTATTAGAGGTCGTAATACGTCGAATTATGGACGTGGAAGTGGCAATGGTAGTGGTGGGAATGGTTTAAGTTATGGCAGCGCATCTGATTTTAGTGGTAGTCGTCAAAATGCTCGTGGAGGCTCAAATCGTGCTAAAGTTTTGCCGAAGAGACATGGCAAATCCGGTTTGATTCTTGTTTATTTCCCACTCTTCATCCCTTTTAATATTTTCAGGAAATGCTGGTATAAATTCTTGGGCTTTTGTGAAATGCTTCAGGTCGTATCGATTTTTAGAATATTAAAGGTGTTTTGAAAAAGGTTTGAGAAAGGGTTTTGGAAGTTGCGCAAAAAATTGCTATTTTTTGCTTCATTTTGTTATTTATAGAGACAGTTGTGTCCTTACAACCGATTGTTTGGTCAAAAGAATCACTAGTTCCTATTTCGAAGAACTTTTATAGCGAACACCAAAATGTTGCTCGCAGATCCCAGGTGATGATTACTTAATTCTTTATGATACAAAATTAAAAAATTTTAAAGCAACGAATAAAGAATCGAAGCCACACTCACTCCACTTTTAACTTATTTACAGCAAAAAACCGATTATTTGGCGTTTTATTTATTTCATTTTCGATCACAATTGACATTTTAGATTTATTCCATCAAATTTCGTCATTTTTGCCGTTTATTATAATTTGAATTTTCTTGTGTTTTTTTATTGTATTACCAGTAAAGCATTTAAACAAATTTGGTAATCCACTTTTTGTAGTATGAAATCGATGCATGGTACCAAGAAAATCAAGTGACGATTGAAGGTTATGACATTCCTCGACCAGTTTTTGACTTTTCCGAGGCTGATTTTCCTGCACCCATAGTTCAAAGATTGTTCAAATCTTTCCAGAAACCGACGGTTATTCAATCAATTTCATGGCCTTTGGCTTTAAGTGGTCGAGATTTAGTTTCAATTGCTAAGACAGGATCTGGCAAGACTTTGGCAGTGAGTTTTTTTTAAGTGAAGTGAAATCATGATTGAAGTATTTTATTGATAAAAGATCGAAAAAATTATATTTATTCATTATATTTATATAGAGAAACTGAGCAAATATATATTTAATATTTTTATGGATTTATGAGTTACTAATTGTTCTTAATTTGGAAAAATGTTATTATATTATTCTAGTTTGTTTTACCTGCACTGGTACATATAATGGGTCAACCATCCCGCGGTCATCCAAAATATCCATTAGTTTTGGTGCTTTTGCCTACTCGTGAATTAGCGCAACAAGTGCAAGAAGTGAGCAGAGATTACTGTCAGATATTGAACTTATCATTAACTTGTTTATTTGGTGGTGCGCCAAAGAATTCACAGCTTTATGATCTCCAAAGAGGTGCTATTTTAAATTTGTTGAACTATCAATCGATTTTAAGTTCAATGGAATGCCGGTTGGTTGGGCAGGATTACTGTTTAAAAATAACATTAATCCAATATCGACTGGCGAAAGTATTTTGTGGTCCTAATCGCAAGTTTTTGCCATTTGCGGAGATTTGTTTCATATCCACAAACATCCATAATCAGTCGTTCAATAATTCAGAAGTGTTCTTTTTTAATTTTTTCATTTTATTGAAATCTTTTAGGAATTTGAATTGTAGGCGTTGATCTCGTGATTGCTACTCCTGGAAGGCTTATGGATTTTTTGACTGCGGGTAAAACTTCTCTGAAACGCTGCACTTATCTTGTATTGGATGAAGCTGACCGAATGCTGGATATGGGTTTTGAACCGCAAATTCGTAAAATTATATCACAAATCAGAGTGAGAAAGATTTTATTTTAACAAGATAGAAAGCATTCGTTCAGCGTATTTTATCTTTCCTGACCATTTTAAATAATTTTTTAAAATGTATTTTCAGCCCGATCGACAAACATTAATGTTCTCAGCGACTTGGCCGCGAGAGGTTCGAAAATTGGCTAGTGATTTTTTGACCAATGTTGCCCATTTGAATGTTGGCTCATTGGAGCTCTCAGCAAATCACAATATAACACAAATCGTAGAAATAATTGATGAAGGCAATAAGCAACAACGGTTGATTTCTATACTAAATCAAATAATGGATGAGGTTCGTTTGTCTGCGTGAATAAAATATCTTCCCATTCTTGTTCCTTATTCCTTGGTAATTGCTTTAAAGATTTTGGTGCTTCCAATTTTAATGGTTTATTCTGATTTTATTATGATTTTTATCATTTTCTTAAATTTTTAATTCCAATTCAATAAATTTCGGGGCTTAATACTCATTCAGGAATTTCTAGGATGACTGTAAAACTATCATTTTTGTGGAAACGAAAAGAAAAGCAGATGATTTGACTCGGTGGATGCGTCGTGACGGCTGGCCCGCTTTATGCATACACGGTGATAAAGGACAGTCAGAGCGTGATTGGGCATTAGGTGGTACGTATTTAGTTTATTTTTGGTGGTGATATAAAACAAGAGGCAAGAGTTCTTAATCATTCTTTTTTGTTGGGTAGGTCACGTTTTGAAGACTGTAAATCGATTCGGCTAAATTTTTTCATACATGAAATATGTTATTATCATAATAATGTGGTAAAAAATGTGATCAAGAGAAAGTAATATTTGCGATTTTTATTGGAATGAAATCACATGTTGCTTATACTGTTGAAACTTGAATTGGAAATTAATGAAAATAAAATAATAATTTTTCTCCGCATTCCTTCACAGCAATCCTTTGAGGTTGACGAGTCAATGGTGTTTTTATATTAGAAAAAATTTTTAGAATTTAAAGCTGGGAAAACACCGATTTTGTTAGCGACAGATGTAGCTGCTCGTGGTTTAGGTAAGTTAATTTTATGATTTTACAAAAGCTTTCTGTTTTTTGCTGCTGAAAGGTTGTTTTTCCTAACTGAAATCAGAAAGAAAAAATCTGTGCTTTTTTCAGATTTTGCGAATTCAGGCTTGATTTCTTATTTTCTCTATATTCAAAAAGCATATTTAGTTTTCTTTAAGTAATTTAACACCCAAAGAAGAAGGAATAATTTTGGAATCCCGAAAATTATATTATGCTACTTTTAGTTGATTTGTGCACCGACATTCTTCAATCCGTTCAAACTGAATGGATGTCAAAGGAATCGGCTGCACAACATGATGATTTCACTTTTTAACGAACATGGTAGCAATTTTATTAGAACCTTTTCCTTCTTTGGGTGACATTTGTTATATTTGGTGTATTATAATGGGTGATTGGCTGGTTAGTTACATGCTTTTTATCCTCTTAAGTATATTCCAGAATTAACGGATTGCAAAAATATATGGAAGGCAAAGATATCTCTTCACTTAGATGCTGGCTGTCATTTATCAGCTTGCATTAGGTGTCGGGTTAAAGTGTGATTATAAGGTGAACCATTGCGTTTAGCTTTACATCTGGCGTCAGTTTTTTCTTAGAATTTATTTGATATTAGTTTCTGAAATCTTCCAGATTTTGCGTCTTTCATAAATTAAAAATAGAGGAAACCAGAAGCTTTGGGAGACTTTGGAACGCCATGTGTGAGCTATATTGTCGCGTTTTCGTTTTTAATTGGTAGCCTCGGTAGGACGAGGTTTGGAATTCGGCATCGCGCGGCAAGTTCACCATCATATCACACAGATCTTTTTCTTCCCTTTGATTTTATGGATGAGGTGGAGTTGAATTCAGGTTAGCTTCTTTTGATTGGTACTAACTGAAATGCACTTTAGTTTGATAGGTTTGAATATGAAATTTTGGGCCAACTTCATCCTTCACTGTATTGTTATTTTTGAAAATTGAAAAATTTTTTTATAAAATAGTTTTAATTTTGTGAAAATAGTTTTATATGTATATATTTCAGATGTTGATGACATAAAATACGTTATCAATTATGATTATTCGAACAATTCAGAAGATTATGTTCATAGAATTGGTCGGACTGGCAGGAGAGAAAAAAAAGTAAGGAATTGATCCCAATTTTTGAATTATCAGCTTAATGCAAGAGGACTAAGAGCTTGTTGATATATTTCTAAATTTTGTTTTGAAGGGTACAGCGTACACGTTTTTCACTCATGAAAATTCGGCAAAAGCGAAAGATTTGATAAAAGTGCTTCAAGAAGCCAATCAGCATGTCCCTGATGAGTTAACTTTGATGGCGCAGAGTACATCCTCAACGTCAAACCGATCTCGGTAAAAATTCTTTGTTATTGATTTTACGCATTATATTCGCTTGTATGTTCGGAAAATTTCATTTTTAATTTATATTTGTCAGATATGGAGGTGGTTTGAAAAGAAACTTTAGTGGCGACGGTGGCCATTCCGGCTTCTTCGCTAAACGCGGACGTTTTGAAGATCGGAGGGAAGGACGGCCATGGTAATTCTATTTATCTTGAAATTATCTTTAATCTTTATCTGTTTTATAAAAAAATTCATGTAAAATAAAAGTTTTATTCGAATGGCCAGGTCAATCTGATTCAGCATATTTCAGTTTCAGTAATATTTCAATAATTTTTCATATTAAATTTTGTTTTACTTTTCTATTTCTTAATAATTTTATTCTAAGAATGGAAGAAAATTTTATTCGAGGCGAATGCAGTAATAAATTATATATACTCGAATTAACCGTAAAGAAAAAAGAATAATCATAAAGAAATATGAATAAAATAAAAATTTGTTGTTATGTATGCGTGATGGTAAACAATAATTTATTTCTTGTTTAATATTTGAGATAGAAGCAGTATTTTTTGATTTTAGGTATTTTGCAGCATAAAATTTTATGCCTATATTCTATTATTCATTATAGGGAAAAAGCTTCAAGTAATACGCAGATGGTGTTCACTAAAGCATTCTAATAATTTGCAAGGGCATTTGTATAATGCTGTGTGTATATTACTTTTGATCGTCTACAAAATTTTGTGATCGATTTCCGGTAATGATGCGGAATTTTCATTGCTTTTTAAGAGTGGATAAACAAGTTGTCCATGACACTGATAACCGCAGATTACAGATCATCAAAATAAACACCATTATTATATCCATACTGAATTAAATGGTGATTCTTTGCATTGCCACGCAATCCACTTTGCTCCTCCTTGGTTAATGTAAAAGAATAAAGTGGTTTTGGCGATGGCGGTGGTTCATCCAAACTGGAAAAAAAAATTAAAAAACAACAATTTATTAAATTCGAATGAGCTTACGTTGTTACTGGTGGTGGCCGTCGAACTTTTCTTCCACAGTATCCGTCTTTTTTATGAAACAAACCACTGGACATTTTATAACCAAAACGACGATGCATTTGAGCTGAACCGAATTGTTTACTCCACACATCTGCATGCGATAGACGGCCTACAGTTGCCATACATTCTTTATGTATAGCGAATTCGCGTCCATAGCTCATCTAAATTTCCTAAATTTGGAAAGGGAATAGAAAGGACGCTTCAGATTTTAATACAGTAATCAGAATAAACAAAAGTCTAAAAATGTCTAACAGTATGATATTGACATAAACCGTTACTCTGATGACGACGTAATCTCCCTGACGTCTTACAACTTCGGCACAGCTACCCGCTAAACACACTAGCACTTCAGAGTCATCGCCAGGATAAGTAGGGTTTTCAACGATGTATCGTTCTACACTGTTCACTTTAGTTCCAATGGCAAGTGCACCTAATGGATAAGCGTTGCCTTCGATTCCTAGAAATTTTTTTTGAACCTTGTTTGCTATGAAATCATCCTTGTTTAAAGCTCATTTCTGGTTTAAATTGGATTCCATAGTTCTTACAGTCCGGTATTTTTGCCACTATAGAAGTATAGGTGAATCACTAGCACTACCAGAGTTTAATAACGAGTGGCTCTGGTTTTTTAAGCAGAAAGCAACTATTTGCCTCTACAATTTTATTCTAAAAATTCAATTAACTTTTTCTTCACAAGGATTTATAGAAAAAGAAAATTGTCCCGACTATTTCGACCAAGAAATCGACTTCTAATAAGGCAAGATGTACCGATAACTGGATTGTTAGGAATAAAACCGCTTGTACTGATTATTTGCCCAGCCTTCATATTTTCAGTGGCAAGGATCCATCGTTTTCCCCTAGAACCAGCAACTAAAGCGATATGACTACTACGATTTGGGTCGCGTCTGACTTCAATTACCTAAAAAATTAATAAAATAATAAAGTAACAAATGAAGTAAAAATATATTTTTAATGAATGAATAAATATATTTTTAATGAATGAATGTTAATGAATATTTCCTCTCTAATATTTTTTCTGCTGAACGAGGGAAATTTTTTTTTCTTAGGAAAATTAAAATTATACATGAAAAGTAATAAAATATCAGCAGTAAATTTATTTGCTAGCCTAAAGTGCGTTTAAAACAAAAGACATCCATTTTAATAGTTCTAGAAAAAATATATAATATATCTAAAGATAAAATAAATAAATAGTACTCTCTCATCATATGTCTGATTTTCTTCTATAGGACCTCGACGGTGATAATCGATAATGAAATAGTCGAACTTTACACCTCCGCCTATATGCTGGTTCACTTTTCGACCTAAAAATCACTAATGTCATTTAGAAACTAAACATTGAAATCTCCGAATCCCACCTATTTCGTGTTTTTTTCAATAAATAATGCAAATTAATTGATTAATTTGGAATTCAATTGAATTATTCTATTTAAAAAATATACACCGTTTCTACATAACGGCATAATATGCTAAATAATATAACTATAACAAAAATTCCAATAATATCATTGAATAAAATGAATTTAAAAAATGAATTTGGGATAAATTCTTTTCTTGTTTTCTTATAATTTATAATATCTACAATCTATTATTTGCAATGCTTTTGCTAATAAAAGAAATTAACCTGTTACGGGATCTCGACCACCAAGACGACGTATAACTAAAGGTTTATGGGTATATTGCCCATCCGCTTTTTTTTTCAGATCATCTTTATCCCAAAACAAACGAGGAAGATGCTCCCTCTTCGGCAAAAACCTCTGCGATATGGCTTGAAAATTAAGCACTGGTTTGAGTAATCTGGAAGCCGCTATACACGCTTCATTCAACATCGACCTGAAAATTTTATCATATTAATTACTATTAGGCATAATATGTACCACCTTAAAGGATTAATAATAAAGTTATAAGTTTACTAATTATTAATAAACTTCTTAACCTCTTCTAAAGAAACTTCCAAACAGAAAAGATTTCAAACATTCTAAATATTGAGAAAAAGAAAAAAAATTAATTTTTATTCTTCGAATATAGGTACATAAAAATATATACAAACAAACAAACAAAACTAAACCAAAACTAAAAAAAAAAACCGAATAAATTAAAATTCTGCAATAAACAATCCACTTTGCAAAGATTCATCATAATGAATATGAGGAACTGAAGAAGAATGTGATAAATAATGTATGGCAGTATGATTAAATGATGTGTCATCTTTGGAGAATTTTGGAAAACAAATGCACTGACAAGCGCTTTTAAATTTGAGTAAAGCAAAAAGTTCGTATTTCTGCAGCAAAACTGGATCGAAATCAAGGAAATTATTTCCAATAATAACAATTCTCGTTAATTCTCTAGCATTCCGATGTGAATAAATTATATTATTATAAATACCATAACCGCAATGTGGAGCATAATAAAAAATCATATCATCTTCTGAAATAGCATGATTGCGATCTACAAGGTTTGTTGCTTCCATAACTTCTACATCGACTGTATCCAGGTAATTCTGAAACTTTATTTATATTTAACTTTATTATTTATAAACTTTATATTCTTTATATAAAAAATAAAACAAAAAATGAATAATATAATAAATAAAACCGCTTTTTAAGAAATATTAATATAATTGACGAACCTTTTCTTTTTTTGGACATTGACAACCACAGAATTTAAGGTATTTAAAGAACAGGGAAATATGCAAAATACAGATTTTCAAATATATAAAACATATAATAACAGAAATAGTAAAAATAAAATAAAATAAAAAAATTTGTCGAAAATATTAAATCTTAAAAAAATAAAATAAGAATAAAAAGAAAGAGTAATATATCACACTTCCAGCAAAACAAAGTTATAGTTCAATGCTTTCGCTAACTTCCTTGCTAAGTATTTTTTAGACAAAATTTGCCGAAAAAGAAAGTAGACTAAGTAGACTAAGTTACCTTTTCATTCTCAGTTACAACTGGATCTTGATAAATCGTTTTCGCACCAAAATATTGCTTTAATTGCAAAAGAAGGGCCAACTGATCACAGCCATTACAAAAAGGTTTACTAAAATTACCGATGCCAATCGCTCGAATTAATGAACATTTTCGACCGTTTAGAATATTATTCAATGCATTAATGATAATTTCGCTGAAATTATGAATATGAAATTGTTCCCTTCGCCTTACTTTACGGTTAATCGCAGAATTTTTTCTCGGAATTTTCCGGAATCCATTATTGTTTGACGTAAATTGACGCAAATTTTTGATGCTATCAAAGCAATAAACATTTGTATATTTATAAATGCAATAAAATTATTTATAATTTATAGTATATTTATAAATGCATTAAATAATAAAATTCTAACGAAGATAAATTTTATTTACTCAAAGAATTCGATGCTAAATATAACTTAATTAATGCGATATAACGACAATAACTAATTAATTATACACTATAACTGACTATAACTGACAATAACTGAAATAACTGAATTGAGAGCAATAAATACATAAAAAAAATAATAAATGAATAAACGAACCAACTATTACTATATGCCATTTTTAAAATTGCACGATTCATTGTCTGCTCAATGCATTTTAATGAAATTTCATGTAAATACTCGTCATCACAGTTCGAAATGCCACATTTTCGGGATTTCCGGAACTTCTTCCCTTTCCTTACCTTCATAAAACCATCACTATCCATGGGAACAAGTACCACAGAATGTGCAAAACAAATTCAGAAATTTCACGGTCCGAAATGGGGGATGAATGCAAAGTGCGGCCGCAGCCGAAAAACGTGGTCTCGCGTTTTTTGAAATGATTTAAAATCTTTTTTTACGCCTTTTCTGAAAACACTTTTTTAAAATTTTTTAGTGATATATTTGAAGTGAAGCACGGAAATACAGTCGATTTGACCTGAAAAGTTGAAAACTTGTAATATCTCGTGAAGTTAATTAAAACTTTGAAATCCATTTTGAAGTTTGAACAAATTCTTAGATCATTCGTTATGACCGTTTAGAATATTATTCAATGCATTAATGATAATTTCGCTGAAATTATGAATATGAAATTGTTCCCTTCGCCTTACTTTACGGTTAAGGCCAAGGCTTAGGATTAAATTTATATTTAAAAATTATTGTAAAATGGAAAAAATCTCTCCGAAAAGAGTGAGCGAACGATTGTTATGAGGAAACGTAGAGACATGCCGAGGAAATTAATTCCTTCCTTTCCGCCACAAAACCAACTCCTATGCAATTTCTTACCGTTTAGCCATAAAATTAAGATGAGGAAAAGCGGAAGTTATTCTGCTTTTACTGACTATTCGGCTTATTCGCCAAAGGGTCATTTGGCTGCAAAAGGCAATCAGCAGCCGAATGACACTTTTGCCATTTTCGCTTCCAAATTGCTTCCAAACTGCACTTATCCGAATAATTCTGCTCGTTTCTTCTTATTCTTTTATTTCGATTCTAAAGCCATTCTTAAAGACTCCAAATTTCATCTATTTTAATTTTTTACTCGTTTGTTGGAGATTTATTTTATTTATTTATTCGATCGGTTATCGGTGCGTTTCTTTACTTTATTTCACATGTCGGATTATGAAGGCACTGACGAATATCACAGTTATGAAAGAGGTGATGACGAGGGGCGAATATGCGATGAATATGTGGGGTCGGAGGGATGAATCAGAGGAATGTTTGGAAAAGGAAAAGGAGGAAGATTAAGAAGTGGACGCGGACGACGTGGATAAGCGCGAAGACGAAAGGAAAAAAAACTTTCGGACCGCTGCTCAATCAGCTGATTACACGGCGAACAACAATTCGCTGACAATAGAAAGGCTGATAAATCTTGGAATAATCATGGATGAAAATCTCGATTTCGATCTCCACTGCAGAACCATAGTAAAGAAATCCTCAAGAAATCCTCTAAATTTTATTTTTCGTTCGTTTAAGAACAAAACTGAAAGTTTTCTTATCAAATTATACAAAGCATTCGTTCGGCCTCTTCTTAACTACAATACTATATGTTACTCCCCGAGACATCGCAAAACAGGTAAAATAATTGAAGGACTCCAAAAATATTTTCTAAGATGCCTCTCTCCTAATAAAAATTATAATTTTAATTATAAAAGAACACTTCTACAACATAACATGGATTCTCTCTCAGTTCGTAGAATTAAACAAGATTTAATTTACACATATAAGATTCTGTATGGTTATGTTAAACTAGACTGCTCGAAATATTATAACTTTAGACTAAATTTGAATCCAACAAGAACTAATGGCTTAAAATTACTAAAACCTATATGCAAAACTAAACTAAGGATTCATGATTTCTTTATTCGTACTATTAACTATTGGAACAAATTACCGAACGATTGTGCGTCATCCTTAGCTGTCTTTAAAAAAAAACTAGATAATATCATTTACGATATTATTTAAAAACAAAAAAAAAAAAAATGAGAAGAGTTTACACCAGGCAAGAACTGCAGGAAGTGAGAAATCTCGATTTTATCTTCAGGTTATATATGTTACTTCGAATTGTACTATATTATATTGATCTATAATTTCCTCTTTAAATTGTTAATTTTTGACATATTGTTTTATAATTAATTTTTAATTGTTATTATTAATACAAGCACATGGCGTTGTCGCCCTGCTTGGCTGGTTATCAATAAATAAATAAATAAATAAATCGAAGGTTGAACAATGTTCATCAGTAGCTGTACATAAATTCGAATTTTTAGGACGCTATCAGTAACAATTCGTTTTTGAGTCATTTTCTCTTTATAAGTTTTCTGTTTATTCTATAAACCATGTGAAGAACAATTCATAGCGAAGAGAAGTGAAAAAAAAAAAACAATATTAAGTTCATAAAAAATAGGATTCTTACGAAAAATATCGAATACAGCAATCAATCCCCCTAGATTTTGCTTCGACAATTAGTATTTTCAAGCATTTTTCAATGTGTCGTTTGAATTCACCAAGGTGACGAGTCAATTTCACCAGAAGGATGTATCATCGTTCCTTCATTTTTCGCTCTCTGCGATGGAGCTGAATTTCTTCTCCGCATTTTTACGAATGGTCTTCTTATTTTCATTATTGTCGCAACTGTAAAGCAAATATGGCAATTCATCCGAAGATTTCTTCTTTTTCGTCAATTTCTACCCTATTTTTCTAGTAATAATCCACATTTATAGGGAATTGCAATGGCATTTTAAATCCCAAAGGCATCACCAAATTATCAAATTATCATCTAAATATGCGACGAATTCACTTAGCAATCCAACATATAAACATTAATTATACGTTTTTTTTGTAATTGTTAAGTTGAATTGTTGAATTCACTTTTAAAAATTTTTTGAAGGTAATTTTTATGAATTAAAGTTTTAAATAAAAAACAAATAGAAAAATTTCCAGTAAAATTTCTAAAGAAGTTTTAAAAAAAGTTTTTTTTAAAAAGTTTTAAAAGAAGTTTTAAAAGAAGTTTTAAAAAAAAAAGTTTTAAGTTTTTAAGTTTTTTTTTAAAAAGTTTTAAAATCTTTTAAAAAACTTTTAAAAGTTTTAAAAACTTTCAGTTTTTTTAAAGTCGTTTGGTGATAAAGAAATTTTTTTAGGTCTCATAAGTAAGTCAATGGTTCACTTCATCTATCCATCAACTTAAATGAAAGATGCATAAACTTTTTTCCTTGAATCTTCATTTTTTTGAAATAGAAATTATCTGTAGAAGGAATAAATTAATAAATTATTGATTCAAAAAATATTCTGGTAGAAACAAATCGTGTGATATCCGCTATCAGTTTATCAGCGATTCTATAGGTTGACGTCGGTTATTCCCTCGTTTTCCAGTTGTTTACGTAGATATAGCCATAGCGATGGATAAATTTAAGGATTCCACCTGTGGAGGCACGAGTTATTGCGGGTTAAGTTGTCTGCTGGGGTGAGACGCTTGCTTCGCCCGCAAAACTTTCTGAAAATTAAATTTACAAGTCGATCTCTTCGCGAGCAATTAATGATTATTAATAATCGTCAGTCGTGCCAACTATGAGTATTCCTCACGAATGGACCGTGCGAAGGTGGAGTCGGGGCAACGATGCGCGCGTGTCGCATCGCATATTTTATTTTCTAGTTGTCGCCTCTCTTTCAAACTTCTGTGGCGTTCGCAATAATTTGGAGGCGAAGTTGTTGCGGTGATTAAGGGGGTCCAGTTTGTTTGTTGGTGAATATTTTATAAGGTGAAAATTCGTCTTTATAATAGTTATTTCCCATTGTTGAACGTTTCGTTTGTTTGGTGGAATTTTGAATAACTTTTTCATGAAATTCATTCAATTTCACTTTTAATTTTAATTTATTTAAAAAAATATTCGTAAAATTATTTTTTAAAGATTTTCCAAATTTTTTTAAATCAAATTTTTCGACATTCAACGATTTTACAACGTTTAAACAACGTTTAAATAAATTTAAGTTTAAATGCATAAATTATTTTTCGAAAATGTTTTATTTGTAATTTATGGTTAAAACGAAAATTTAATTCAGTTTTTTCATAAATAATTTGATAGTTTTATTTTTCATTTTTTAAAGTATGGAAAAAGGCTTTCTTTTCATTCATTGCCCTTTTCACTGTTTAAAGAATTTCGATTTGGAAACACATTGTTACATTGTTAAGTTTTTTTCTTCTATTAAAATTTCTTTATTTGCAGCGAAACATGTTTCTCACTCGCAGTGAATATGATCGAGGAGTGAATACTTTTTCACCTGAAGGACGCCTTTTTCAAGTGGAATATGCAATTGAAGCCGTTAAGGTTAATTTTGGAACATTTTTTATAATACATTTTCGATAAAATCGCTTATTTTATTAGAAAATAGAAAAAAGATTTTTTTTTCATTCCATTCCATCCATGACTGCTTTTAATTGAAAAATTGAAATTGAAGCTTTTGTTTTCTAGCTTGGATCAACAAGTATTGGAATTCGAACAAATGAAGGTGTTATTTTAGCTGCCGAAAAGCGAGCCACTTCTAAACTTATGGTGAACGATGCAATCGAAAAAGTATCCAAAGTTGATTCTCATATCGGTTAGAATTTCAAGTATTTAAAGGGTTTTTTAGAAAAAAATACGAAATAAAAATACGAAATTCCCCTTCACCGTGATTATTAGTGATTATTAGTTAAAGTATTCATTCTGGTTTATTTGATTTTAAAATTATCTGAAAAAAATATTTCATTCTCATTAATTAGACTTTGAACAATGAAGAAATGAGGTGATAAGAAAGATTCTCTTCATTTTTCCTATTAATCGAATTATAGTCGTAGTATAGTTCTAACCAGAGTGAGTTGTTTGGATTTATTGTGTGGTCAACTATTCATTAAAATTCAAAATTTACTTGATCTATAAAATTTCTTCACAAAATTAAAAAAACTGAAACTGTGGAACAATGGATCAGATGAGATTGAAAAGAAAAAAATTTTTATTTATTTCAATTTTATTTCCACTGATTTTTAAAACACTTTAAGCTTATTAATACCATTAATTTTCTCCATCACTGTAGCAGTAACATTCGCTGGTCTTATTGCTGATTCGCGAACACTTGTTGAACGTGCTCAAATCGAAGCTCAGAACTTTTGGTTTACTTATAATAGGAAAATACGTGTAGAGGATGTGACAATGTCGGTTGCTAATCTTGCTTTACAGTTTGGTGATGATGATGTCAAGGTATTATTTTTACATTTTAAAATTTATTGTTTGAAAAATCAGAAATATTGGAAATAAACTTCAAAATCTAAAAGAGAGCTTTTAAAACAATTTAGCCAAAAAATTGTCTGTAAATTTTAATTGTCTGTAAACTAAACTTTAATATAGGCATCGATGTCTCGGCCATTTGGGGTTGCGATGTTGTTTGCTGGAGTTGATCAGGATGGACCTAGATTGTATGTTATTTTATTTTTTCATACTTTGAATATTAATATAACATTTCAATGTAGGTTTAATCCTTTTCGCTTTAGATTCCATCTAGATCCATCTGGAACTTTTATTGATTGCTTGGCTAAGTCGATCGGTGCAGCATCGGATGGTGCTGAACAAAGTTTAAAAGAACTTTATTTTGAGGTTTTTTTTCAGAAATTTTGGATAGATTTTATTTCTCATATAGATTTTTAAGAGTGGTTTATAGTTCTTTTGCAAATTTTGGCTTAATTTGTATTTTTCCTTATTTCAATAATTGAAATGGTAGAATTCAAAAAATAAAGGTTCAGTATAAGAAATAAAATTGAAGGATCATTCAAATTATCCGATTTATAATTTTATTGGTAGTGCAACTTCTAGATACTTAATCTTTTAGTCGATATCGCTAGTAGAAGCAGAAAAAGTTGCATTAACTATACTGAAACAAGTAATGGAAGAAAAATTGACTAGTTCAAATGTGGAAATCGTCGTTATAACACCAACAAAAGACGAAAAAGGCTCGTTTTCTTTTATTTGTTGATACATTTAAGATCCATTAATTTCTAAATTTTTACGAATCATTATAGGTCGAAAGACAGGACGATTCGAACGTCTTAGTAAAGAACAACTCGAAACTCTTGTAAACGATTTGTGAAGGTTGTCATATACTCATGCAATCGCTTAAATGAGTTTCTTCATTTTTTTTTAACTCATTGGCATGGTTTTTATCTTTTTATCTTTTTTGAATATCGAAATCTCAGATTTCACTTAAAATTTAGAAATTAACTCATTTTAAAAATTCTTGTTTTTTTTCGGATTTTTTTGACTATTGAATATTCACGAACCATGCCATATATATTATTCCATTGTTTTCATATTGTTATTCATTAATAATTTAGAATATTTATTGTTAAAATTAAATTTTTTATTTTGATTATATATTGAAATACGAATGATATATAATAAAAAAAATTTGACATTTTTCCTCGACATATGGAATACATATTATAGTGATCGTACAATGATCGAGTAATTGTGAGGCTTTATGCAAGAATATTTTAAGTTATTCCCGCAATATATAAAATATAAATGTATAAATATGAATACGAATATCTTTTAAACAAATTATTTAAAAGATTTATTAATTTAATTGTGGCAGCGATGGATATATTCGGAAATTTACTATATAATTCTTTCATTATCAAATTATAATATTCTTTAAATAAAATGAAGTGGATTTACCAAATGTTTCTTCCTATACTTAAATTTTTATCAATCATTAAGATACAAAAAAACGTATGCAATGTATAATATACAAATAAATTATCACTAAAATCAAAAATGCATATAAATATTATCACTTTCAGCACATTTTTTTCGAAATACTATCCCCTCCTTTTTTGTAAATATATGGGGTTGGTTTTTAGCGGGATACAAAAGCGGCAAATTTTTCGTTTTATAAAATTTCAATGCTTTCACCGGTTTTCAATTTTTCTAAAGTTATACGTCGCCGAAAATCCCCGCGAATGTTCGCTTTAGTTGACCCATTGTATCGTCTTGATAAGGTGGTTCATTGTCTTTAAGACTAGGCTGTCGAGTTGGTTTATTTGACGATGCATTTTGAACGGTTTGTGATGGTTGTCCTGTCGTTTTATCGCGCACCATATACTGCATATTTTCAACTCCATTTGCAACACTTCTTCCTAAAAGTTTTTATTTTATTTACTTTTGTTTTCAGAAAACAGCATGTACCATTACATTTAGTTTTTTTTCTTTTTTAAAGAGTCCTCACCATTACTGGCTAAACTCGCTCCACTGGCTTGTCGCATTGGGCAATATGCCAGGGAGTCCCTTGGCGATAGAAATACAGTCGCCAGCATCACTCGGATTTTTGCACAAGTTTACTGCTCCGGGCAATCGAACCTCAGCATCGGCGCTCCCAGTTGAGCAACAGCTCACTGAGCCATCCTATCCCCGATTACATTTAGTATTTATGTTGAAGTATTTCTGTTTCGAGACCAGTAGTAACCTGTCAAATCTTTTTCAACTGAGTTAGATTTTGAACTGGATGATATTGGCCTAGATGGTAGAGTTGGCGGTGTTACAGTTGGTGCTTGACCAGTTCTATTTACTGAAGTTTGCATCGGTGCGTTTGGCCTGTTCGGTGCACATTGATTCCGTGTTAAGCTGAAAATTTTCTAGAATTTTCGAAAAATAATTTATAATTTTCAACTGAATAATTAGTTATGTGATAAACTGTCAGTTCTTAACGTGTCAATGATATGCGTTTGTATCAAATCAGCAATGGTCCTTCGATCATCATCTTGTGATTCACCAAGCAACGTCAACGTGTCATTCACATCATTTATAAATTCTCGACCATCTTTCGAAACTAATATGTCCACGCCGAACATTTCTAAGCCACCAAATGCTTCTGATATAATATTTAACCACTGCTTATGTCTGAAATATATTTAAAGAGTCAATCAGCAATCGTTCCGAACTTTCTTTGCTTTATAAATCAATAAAAATGCTAGATTCGGGAAAACGCAGTTCCGGGAAAGCGATGTATAACATGATGAACCTGCTGGTTAAGGTGATTTGTTCGAGCATCGCTGATCCCGCATTGCTCTTCCAATTGTTTCTTATGCTTTTTCGTATGAACGCTTTGCACTCATTTCCTATTTTCTAAAATGAACACAAAATAATTACTGAATAAGGCCGAAGCCGAAAGTGTTTCGTTGCAACTTTCGTTTCATTTCACTTCAAAGTCCAAAAAAATTGAAAAAATTCAGCAGTAACAACCAAAGTGAACGACGGGCCACCACGATCGTTGGCTGCAGAAAATTTACCTGCAAATGCACGTCGTATTTAGTTTCCACGTACTGCTCGACGACCACCTCTCTACAACCACTCGTTCTGATAATCCCTTCCAGTTCGACAAGTTGTTGTTCATCGTCGATTTTCATCTGAAATTTTTCTATTAAATGAGTGTTTTCATTTTACACACAGTGGGAATTGTAATATTAGCGGCGGGAATAATTTGATCTCTCTTAAGTAATCCGATTCATTTCCTGCTTGGTATGTTTATTTATGGAATATCCAATTTTCAATTTTTAAGCTATTATTTTTATAGAAACTATTTTTATTCTTATTTTTTTACACATCATTATTGTTGTTTTTATTATTCTCATTGCCGTTCACGTTGTTATATTAACCAATATTATTATTTTTATTACATTTTTTTATAATTGTTATTGTCATTTTTATTGTTTACTGCATTATTTACTGCATTGTTCTAATTTTCCGAATGTGAAAATTGTTAAAATTAATAAAAAGAAACAATTGCTTTGATAGATTAAAAAACTTATTGCCAAATAAATTTTATTGGAATGAATTTCCATAATTTCCATTGCATTAACTATTTATTTATTTTCGATATGCTGCAAAAAATTTAATATTTTGCAGAAAGTTCGAGAAAATATAATTTTTAAAGAGAAATTGATAATATTTGAAATGTTTTGTTTTTTGTTAACCTTTCCTAAGCCATGAATTCCATTTCCAACTCGAATAATAAGCGGAAATCGATGACATGCAATCTAAAAAAAGCCATGAAGTGGTTTAAAAATAATGAATATTTCTCTCTTAAAAACTATGAAAATAAATGGATCCTTCTGGATTCGTTTTTTTGTCGACAAATTAGTACGAGCTTATTGCAATCCATGTTCTACCAACGTTTTGATCGCTCCCTGTGGGTGGTACGAGTCGCTCTCAACTTCAGGTTCTCTACCAAAAGCCTGGGAGCTTGAGAATTCTGCACTATCTTAGGTGTTCTTAGAATTCTTAGCGCCCCTCTGGACAGAAATTCCTGATGTCGTTCCTGGAATCTTCTCCTATTGAGTTGGTTCTTCAAGATTTTATTCTTTGTGGTATTTGAATATTGTTGTTTTCCTTTACTTTTCATCATTTAGGATCTTGTCGAGTTTAGAACCATACATTCAAAGATGCGAGTGTGAATTATAGGTTTGCCTATAGCCAATCCAGATTATGCACAGATTGGACTGGACTGCCAGAATTTTGATTCACAGCGACCGTCTTATCGAGCAGCTGGTGTGGTATGTTTGGCAATATTTTCCATGTTGTATATATTATTGGTTATTGGAGTTGTTCCCTTATGAAGATGTAGATATAAAATATATATCTTTCATTATCTGTACCTCTTTCGTCTTTCTCTGTTAACCAGTCTAAATAAGAACCTGTCGCAAACAGTAAGTTCTGTGTTCCTAGGCATTCATGAACTTAATTTATTAACCAGTAGTTGTGAATCATATCCGTATCAGATGTTGTCCAGCTTTTCATGTTTTTACCCTTTATTGTCACCATTTTGTCGCACTGCAATTGACTAACTGCAATTGAGAGTATATCTTAGATGGTTCTTTGAAGAACAGAGCATTTTTATTTTTAATACCCGTATTTCTTTGGTTTGGTAGTCCTGGAGCCCTTTCTTTAGTAATCTCTAGGGCTTCGAGTGTAGCTATTTTTTTCCAGTAGATGGTTAATCCTATTAGTCCTATTCCAGTTAGTCCTATTCTTAATCTTCTGTAGTTCTGCCAGCTGGTTACTTTCTCTAGTTGTGCTCTAATTTTATTCTCCAGGATCATTTTCCAAGATTTTTTCTTTTTCTTTCTTCTTGATTCTTATTCTTGATTTTTGTTCTTCTTGATACTATATCCAAGCATCTTCCAGAAGTACCGTGGCTGTATCAATTCATAGTTTTTTTTAAGAGTGGTAATAAGGTTTTGAGAGATCTACTCGAATTTTAAACTATACTGTCTGGTGGCATTTCGCTGAGTCTTGGTAAAAGGTCTGAGAATTAATTATAGCTCTCATGTCAACTACTTCGTTTTGCAAAAGGTAAGTCGGAACAGAATTTGTTAAGCTTCCCAATTTGTTAAGTGCACATCCCATTCTTCTTTGGTAAGTATGGGATGTAATCTATTTTCTTTGAGAAAGCACTCAGAGATAGCTCTTTTTTTTTATGTTGAAGGACGACTAATGATGATGCAGAATTTCGTCCACCCAGAGTTTCTATACCTTTCATATATTCCCTTTCATTAGGTCTACTATTATTATATTATATACTGTAGTTCAGTTCCAGATTGTCTTGTCCTTAGTCGTTTCAGTAGCTCTTTTTAACGCCAGATTAGATTCTTTTCCAATTGCTATTCTTGCATTCCAATTGCGCGCCCTAACTACTATGCTGTTTTGCTGCATATATATAAATAAACAGCAGCAAATAAAATCCATTTTTCACCAGGCCATTTTTTCATCAGGCAGCCATTTGTGGATAGAAATAAGAAAAAATTTAAAAATGGTAAAAGTTCACTCTTAACAAGGGATAGGAATCGAACCCTTGTCGGACAGTCGAAGCAGCAAATCAACCCTCATTCTCCCTGAATTACCAGAATCTCAAAATTCTTATATTAAAAATTATCAAGAAAAAAAATGCTTACGAAACGATTAAAGAATGGATAATAAACTTGTTCAATCAATGGAAACAAATTGTTGCCAAGCGTATTGCTTAATCGTTGCAATCGATTATACTTAAAATAAAAATTAAAATAAAAAGTAATAATATTTAAATTAAATTTTAAAAAAATTTAAAAGATTTTACGCAAATTTTATTTTCATCGAACAAATCTCATTTTTCCGAATTCTCGATTAGCAGTAAATATAAAGCAATTAATTCCTAATATTTTTTCACAGTTTCAGTTTCAGTAAGAAGCAATAAGTGCATAAGCAATGAAGGGAGCTTAAAAAATCGGAGACTTTGATGGATCGTCGCTGCAATAAAAGTTTGATCCTAGTTATAGATATTCAAAGATGATTCCACCATGCCATCCATATTAAATGCCAAACTATCGTCAAAAAACGCGGATCGGATCCAAGGCAATTCAATCTATTCGAAGCAATATACCATCTTGCTTATGGTATTAGACGAAAAGGAATGAATGGATTTTTGTGAACAAATAAATAAAGAATGAAGCCATTAATTATGCAATATTAATAATCTTAAAAATTAAGAGTATTGCAATTAAGCCTTAAAGCCTTACCATCCAATTCTTGTTCAAAAAAATAAGAGTGCTTTCAACACTGTTTAATGTTTGCACTTCAGATCTGAGCAAAGCAATTATAATATTACTATAATCACCTTTTTCACTCTTAACTGCTTGTCTAAGAAGGACGAAATCTGGTTCAAACATCCTGAAAATTGTCTAATGTTTTATAGATATTACATATATAGCTTATATAATTTTAGAATTGTAATATAATTTGGCTTATCGATTGAAATATCCGGAAATATTTATGCTAAACATTCTTATTCACCATAATTGTTGCTTTAGACAAATTTGCAAAACACCTAATGAATTATTCATGAATCATTACTATTATTCGTCAGGAAAATCTGACTGCTGATAGAAAATCTGAAAATCTGATGCATTCTAAGCAATACCCATTACATTTTCGTGAATTATTACAATAACAAAATATATTACAATTTCTTATTTGATTAATAATCAAATTGGTAATCAAATAGGTGATTTTTGGTGATTGCGTTTAATCCATATTAATTTTTAATTGTAAAGTTCCTTGTCCTATAAAGTTAATCACATAGCTATTTTCAATATATACACCCTTATTCATTATACTAATCTTTTTATCTCGAATCCATAAGCCAATAATTCATGATTTTCTGTGGATTCTGTGGATTATTAATTAAGCTATCGAATTGCAAATCTTCATTCAAATGCTAAATGCTTAATTAATTCATACAATTCATAATTCATACAACAGTTTATAAATCCATTAAAAAACAAAACAATTTTATTATATTTTTAAAAGATTATTTATAATAATGGGATTTTTTATGAAAAGCCAGTTTAAAGACCATTAAGCCTTTTTTTTTCATTTTTATTTTCATTTTCATTTTTTCTTGTTTGCTTAATTATTTTTTAAAATTTTGAAAATTTAAAAGTTTTCAAATTTGTGATTTAAATTCACCTGTTTTCTTTTGAAGCCTTGCTGATATCGATTATGCATCGTCCATGAATAAGAGAACACACATCGATCTCGGAGAATTGAGCCTTAAAAATTAAGACTATTGTTTTCACAATGTTCCGCATAATTTGTTTTCTTCATAACTATTTCAAGGAGGAAAAATAAAATTTGATGAAACTATAATGCAAAATTTTTAGATGAAGAACGAAACGATATTTTCAAATGAAATTCTAAATTATCAGATCGAACGGGTTGTCGGCCACCCAAAATATTGGAAATCTATAGTTATTTTATATGGTATATTTACTTGTTCTATACAAAGCCTCACACCCGTGCGATTGTTTCGAAAATATTTGCTCCTGAATAATAAAAACATAAAGAAATATGCAATAAATTTGGAATAGCAGAATAGCAGATTAGTTAACTTATCGCTCAAAAACTGATTAAAAATCAAATGTAACATTAAATTTAAATTTTTTTACTTCATATTATTAACAGAAATAAGTGAATTCGTAGAATTTACTTTCATTATATTTCGATTTATTTTTTTTTTTAATAATAAGTTTTATAATTTCCTTCTTCATAAGCGATTTAATATTTATTATTGCGTCGACAAGAGCAAATCAAATTTCCAAGTTTTTTTTTCGAATATAAGTTAGTCGAATGCGAGTAATTTTCAGGAACAAAGATAATGTTCCTTTAATTAAACTTTGTTTAACTTCAACTTATTCATTTTTACACTAATAAAGAAACTAAAATAAAATTCCCCATGGATAAATTCTTTAAATATGAGAATATAAGAGAAGTGCTTATGTTTCCAATATTTATATGATCGATCGATCATGAGAAGCAACATCAAACATTTTACAGAATCATTCACGCACATAATATACATAATTTCCGAAATTTAATATTTGGAAATTTTCCAAAAGTCACCAAAACCAATTTTAGCAAAAATGAAAGAAAT